TGTAAATTGTGTGGTGGTCCACATTATTGACTGTTTTCCTTGTTAGTCTCTGTGTCTGTCACACTTTGTTGCAATTAAATCCAAAGCAGCCCAGAGTAACACTGTTGATGCAGGGAAGGAAACCCGATGGGGCTTCCTCTTTACCCTCCACCCATCTCTTCCCCATGCCCATTTTACTTCTAATACTATAAGACTCCGTTATGGGCATGTAATGATGCTGCTGGCTGGGTCGTCCATGAGGAGTGAACCCAAGATCTGTGGATTTAAAAGCATGAGCAGGTACTGCCAGAACTCCAGGTCTGTGTCTATTAGCTGGAGGTAACAGCAGCCTCATACCTACCCATGCCGAACCCCGAAAGGGACACAGAGCCAAACTGTGTTAACATGGGTTATATGCAGATGAAATCTGGATCTTTTGCCTAATAATCCCCCTGGAATTGTGGGTACACTGAGATCGCTAGAGTATGTCCTGCTGACATTTTTAACCACAAAGAGCTCTGTCTGGAGAGGGCAGAAGAGTGTCTAAAAAAGTGATGTGAAAACTGAGTCCCCTCTCCTTCCCCCCCACCTCCCCAAATCAGAAACCCCTAAACCTAGAAGAAGAAACTGGTTGCCAGTGACTTGCTCTTGTGGTCTGTTTCTTAAATTGTCATTCATTTGTTGAGGGTTTTTATTCATCACTCTAGATTTTAAAATAATGAAAGCCCCATTACTGGGCTATTTGGTGATTATGTAAATAGTCCCACGAGTGTGGTGAATAATAATAATAATTCCTCTAAACGCAATTGTGATCTGGAAATACAGGTGCCTCATTTGCACATTCTCAGCTTGAAATGAAGCTGCAGACCATGAAATGCAGGGAGGGAGGTTATTTGCGAGAAGTACTGGTTTTGTCAGAATTTGTTGCTGTAAATAATTTCAGCACAGCTGTAATCCACTCTACTGTAATGTAGGAAAAGAGCATTATCTGAACTGTGCCCAGTGGATTGTGGCCAATTTGATTGGGTTCTGGAGTAAAATGTATTGTCTGCATTGTAACCAACACCCCGCTGCAAATGAATGATTTGAGGATGGAGAGAGCCAAGGTTTGTTTTCAGTTCACTCTGAACTTCGCTTCTTACAGATTATATTTCTTTTAAGTATTGCTTATTGTGCTGTCCAGAAACAGCCCTGTCTCTCAATTTGCTGCTCAGATACTGAGAAGCCTAATGCTGCTAAGCACCGTTGGTGGTGATCAGTGGAATTTATGAAGTGGTACAATATGGTGGGTATGGCAGGGGGCATAGCAAACGACCAAATCAGCAGTAATATCATTTGATGGAAGAACTAGCATCTGCTAGGAATGCACAGCAGAGGCTGGCAATTTAAGGCTCACAGATAACTAAACTCGATGGTGGGGGGGAATTCTGCATGTGAATTAAAACTTCTTTGATTCAATGGAAACCAAAGGTAGAGATGCGACTAGTCATTCTCTGCTATTCAGAGGCAAGCAGGTCATGAACTGTATTTTGTCTGAATCTCCTGGTTCCCCTCCCCTCTTTCCTATTCCCTCCCCCCCCCCCATTCTCAGGTTGGCTTGGGAATCCCTTATTCTCTGGGGAAAACTTTATACCAAGGATACTTTTTAGTCATGGGCATTTTTAGTAAAAGTCATGGACAGGTCATGGGCAGTAAACAAAAATTCACGGTCCACAACTTTTACTATATACCCCTAACTAAAACTTGGGTCGGGGGGGAGGACGGGGGTGTTGGGGGGTGTGGCCCGGGACTCCCCCTGGTGCTGGGGTGGGGGAGGGTTGGCGGGGCTGGCAGGTTCCCTACCCGGCTCCAACCGGCATGTTCCTGTAGCTCCTAGGGGGAGGGTGGCGGCTGGGGGGCTCCCTGTGCTGCCTCCGCCACAAGCGCCGGCTCCACAGCTCCCACTGGCCAGGAACCACAGCCAATGGGAGCTGTGGGGTGGTGCCTGAGGTTGTGGGCTGCGCACGGAGCCCCCTGGCTGCTCAACCTAGGAGCTGCAGGGACATGCCGGTGGGAGCCGGGGAGCCCCCCTCCCAGGTTAGCGCCACCCCCCCCAGCCCTGAGCCCCCTCCCACACGCCCAAACTGCTGCTGCTGGCCCAGGTTGCTGCAGAAGTCATGGAGGTCACAGAATCCATGACTTCCATGGCCTCCATGACAGACATGCAGCCTTACTCATGAGGGAATCCGTAATGAAAAAAAACATTTTAATTATTGTCTGTTAACTGAATAAACAAGCTACCCTCTGTTTGTCTGTGACAGAAGTTATAGCCATAAATTCCTGAGAGCTTAATATCTTCATTCTATCCGTTTAAATGTTTGACAGTCTTTATATTCCAAAGTGGGTGTTAAAAATGAACATTTTAATGACTACTGGTGATAGTCTCTTCCAATAAAAGGCCCGTGTGCCACACATACACCTGTGAAATGTTTATCACTGTGATAAAAATGCAGATGGTTCCAGCCTATTATTTTTGGCATGAGCCTGTAGGAGATTAGCCTTTATACCCTGTTAGTTTTAGAGGGAATCCCACTGCAGAGAGACGGGGTCTTTATGACTTTCAGACGGGGGAGTGAGTTTGACCCTGCCTTTCTCGGGGTACTCTGCCAAGAGACCTGGTTCACTTCTGCACTGGAACAAATGAATGACTTGGTATATCCCCGGCATGGAAACTACAGCTATTGAGAGTAGAAAAGACCTGCTGGGTCATCTCGACTGTCCCAGGATCTGTCCCTGCTGGTGACCTGTGGTGTTTGGCCATTACATAGGGGAATCGAAGTGGGCGTTCATATTTAGTGTAAAATGATATCTAGTATCTGAGGCCTGGTGGTGGCAATGGTGCATTTGGAAAAGGCAGCACCATTTTCCAGTGTGTCGGAAACTGACCTCGCCCAACCCCTTTTGAGTAATTCGGATCAGAAAGTGGGGAAATTTCCCGCAATTCTACCGTTGTAAAGGTTTTGATGTTTGTAAAGTGGAACACCGTGCTTTGCTCCAAGGAGCCGGGTGGGTTAACCTGACCTAATCTCAAGCATTAAAGTCAATTTCAGTGTGGTATTTAATGTCAAGTGGTTGTCATGGGAGTAGTACTGAAAATCACTTGTTGTAATGTCGTGATATTTCTAGACCAGACTTACATGTGGGAGTCATGTCCCTTGGCTGATGTTTTGGTTGTAGTATGAAGGGCTGTGTGGCTAGGCACTACACAGAGGCCAATGCTTAGGTGTCTTTAGCTAGCTAAAGGTTTTTCTACTAGTGCCCATCACCATGGTATCTGAGCGTTTTGAACTTCTGGGATGAAAGCTGTGCCTCATTGAAGTTAGTGGGACTTTTGCCATGACCTCAGTGACACCAGCATTTCACCACTGAGATGTAATTTTGCGCTATAATGTGTATCCTGGGGTGGTTCTTGCCGCTGTAAAATAGACCACCCTCATAGCTACGATTACAGGGTAGCTGGGTAGGGCTGCTGAAGCTTGGTGAGGGAGCTCTGCCGTCGCTGGCTCGTCGGAGGTACACAGGAAAGACTGTAGAAAGGCGATGAAAGGCTCCACGTGAGCAGTACAGTACAGACCCGTTTACGTGCGAATCCGCTGAACGTGCGGTAGCACCAGGCCTCCCCGTGCTCCCTGTTTAACACGCGAGACTCGTGAACACGCGGTACGGGAAGTTGCTATGTGGTGCTAGAGGTTTGCTCACTAACTCGCTGACATAGCAATCGACAGGAAGTGCGGAGCGGAAACGTGTTGTACGTCTTTACCGCTGACGGGGAGGGAGAAGGGGCAGCAACGTTAAAGCGCTGCCGTGGCAAAGGACCCTGCAGCGCTTTAAGGTCCCTGCCCCTTTTGCCCCCCGTCGGCTGCTGACGGGTGGGGGGAGCAAAGGGAGCAGCTGCCCCGGGACTGGCGATTTAAAAGGGCCTGGGGCTTTGGACACCGCTACCACAGCAGCGGTGTTGGGAGCCCTGGGCCCTTTAAATCACCACGGGAACCCCGGGCAGTGCGGACCAGGTGGCCTGGAAGGGCTGGCTGGGGGGATGCTGACCCCTAGCCCCGCCCCTTCTGCTGGAGGCCCGGCCCCTTCCGGGGGCCAGAGCTGCCCCTGCCCCATACCGGTAAGTGTCCTGAGTTACTTTCACCCCTGTGTAGTAGTAGCAATGTTTTTATCAGATTACACATTTGAATTTATATTCTTGCAAAGCACCATTAACAGATAGGCCTGCAGTATTTGGGACGCTATTTCAGCATGGCCCTCTTAACCCATGGTCTGTTAACACGCAGTTGTGACGGCTTGACTCCTGACATCTGCGTGTAAACGGGTCTGTACTGTAGTAAGTTCTTGAACTTAACAGTTCTCAATTCACTTACACATTTGTAACAAAATATTGGATGGTCTGTTCCCTGTCTTTCTCACCCCACCTGCCCCATGTTCAGGGCTCTGTGGTTACCCTGCGATAGTTGCTGACCCTTCAGCCCCCAAAGCAGCATGCCCTCTGGCAGTTTTGCTGCTGTTGTTGGCACAGTAGAAGAAAGCAAATGCAGAACCTGCAGCTCGGGTCTCAGCTGGTCAGGGAAGGCAAAATGGCCTTTGAAATAGTTTGAAGATGTGACAGTTGTCATCATTAGTCTTTAAGGTGCCACCGGACTCCTTGTTGTTTTTGTGGATACAGACTAACACGGCTACGCCCTGATAGTTGTCGTCATTACATTTCAAGTGTCCGCTGGTGACAAACTGGGATTTTAAACTCTTTCAAGGTCTCCTTTAGAGCATGGCAGCGTCACTCCTGTGAAACTGCTCAGTGGGGTGTACGTCTGAGACAGACTGTGCCCTTTTAAAAGTGAGAAGTGATCCGAATGCCGTTTCCAAATGGTCGAGCCAGCTGGTCATTTCAGAGGCTGGATGTTCAGTGTAGTTCGTCAGGGTGGTTGAGTTGGGTGTGAGTTCTATAAATTCACTTTTTAACACATCTGTCTCCCATGCAGTTGTTTTGCTGGATTCTAAGGAGTCACAGGCCGAATTGGGCTGGACATCGCACCCATCGAATGGGGTAAGTAAAAACATACGCAAACATGTTCTGTCGCTATTACTCACCCGTCCCACCCCGGTCAGCCTGGTTAACTCTGATTTAGAGCAATGGTGTGCATCTAGCAGTGGTCTCCTCCTACACGTGTCTCCTGATTCTGCGTGGTGATTCCAGGCTGTCTGTATCTATGGGAAAGGCTTCATGGCTTGAGTGAACTAGCTTCAGCAGCTGAGTAATGCCACCTGTGGAAGTGCATTCGTTGGTGCACTCCCTTCAAGGAGGTGAAGACGGAATTCTTGATCCCTATGATCTCCTCAGGGGTGTCAAATGCTCTGTACTGTGGAGGGCCTTTGCTTTTCGCTATTGCTCATCTAGATAGGTATCTGCCTTCAGCCACTAACAGCGTTAGAATGATGGGTAGACAAAATTCTGCTTAAAATCCAGATCCCAGAGGTGAGCTGAGAAGCAGCGACACGTCTCTGTGATGCGAACAGCAGGCTTGACAAGCTGACACAATGCTGCTGTGACATGAACGGTGATGTTTGTCAATCCCAGACGGCTGGGGAGAGGAGCTGAGTGAGTGTATTGATTATGTCAGAGGAACACTGCAGATTGAGCATAGCTCATGACAATGCGTTTTGCATTCTTGTACTAAGAAAAGGAACTCAAGTCAATTAAAGCTTTTCTCTGTAGTTCACTTTCCAGGCCAGTTGCCTTAAGGATTCACTCAGTTCCCCGATGAGCAGAAAGGGCCGGATCTCTGGAATTCTTGGGGAACTTGACCCCATACGTATATGTGACTCCTGCATGATTTATAGTTTGTCTAAGTGAATGGCTGCATTGCTGCCTTTGTCTATAGCTGTGCCCACTTTCACCTGAAAGGGCAAATCACTGAAATCAGATGTTTCTTGCTGCACTTAACTCCCTCGTCAGAAGTGATTCTGCATGTTTGGAGCTTGGCTCAGGGGTCAGCTGGACTGGAGCTGTGGGTGGCTGGGAAGGAACTCCATTAGGGGGTTTCTTTGGTTATCTCACTGCAAACTCTGCCACCTGTGGAAGGACTTGCTGTGAGCAGCCCTCAGATCACTTCCTTCTCAGGGCTAAGATGATCTAATCACCATCTCATCAATCAGCACTTTCCTGGCCGCTGCAGGGAAATGCCACTTCACTTACACTTGGGTGAGCTTGTTCCTTGAGAGAATCAATGTCCTTGGCCTGCTTTCAGGCTGGGGATTGTCCCTGTTGGGTTTGAGGCACCCGGCTCCTTCATCACCAGCCATCTCTAGCTTCTTTTGATATTTGGCAGTGTGAGTTGCTTCTGGGTGAGAGTGCAAATACTACCTGTCCGGGAAGGTAAAGCCGTGAGAGACAGCCGGCCTTGGGGACTTTGCTCCTCACTCTGACCTGAGTTGCTCAGCGTTGCCGGAGTCATTCTTGTCAGGGAGGGTGGAGTCCTTCCTTCTCCTGCCCACCAAATGACAGGCGAGGAGAAGTTGGTCTGACACTTCCTCTCTCCTTACTCTCTCCCCTCCCCCTCTGGTGCTCTCTAATTAGGAGGGTAGTTTCCTCATTGGGGAGCTGTAATTACTGCTGTGCTATACTAAAATACAGCCTATGACCTAAAGCCAGTGGAGTTGCAGAGAGACTGGCAGTCACCACCTTCAGAACAGTTCGGTTGGTGCTTGGAGAGAAGAGGTCAGTCAAATGGGATTGGAAACTGGCCCTGATAATACACTTAACTATGACATTAGTCACTAATAAAGGGAATGCCATCCCTGGCCCTGCGGGAGTGAACTGGGGGATAGTGTACCTTGCCTCTAGCTTAGCAGACAAGACTTCTCTGGCTTTTAGAAATTAGATCCTTTTTAGACATTAAATTCTGTGTCCATTGTCTGTTACTGACTGTGTTTCTCCCTCCTAAATATTTAGAAATTGGAAAACACTGCAGAGTGGCTGTGTTGGGATTTGTGTATTCTGTGGGCTTCAGGTTTTTTTTAACGCCTGTTATAACGATGCATAGGTTAAGGGGTTTTTAGTGACTGTACTTACAATGATCTTGGTATGGAGGGGGCTTTACTTGAAAGACTGGTTCTCACTAAATAGCAGGTATCAAGATGTGTCTGTTCTTTTTATAGTGGGAAGAAATCAGTGGAGTGGATGAAAACTACAAGCCGATTCGTACCTACCAGGTCTGCAACGTCATGGAGTCGAATCAAAACAACTGGCTGCAGACAGGCTGGATTGCCAGGCGCAGTGGCCAAAGAATCTTCATTGAGCTGAAATTCACCCTGAGGGACTGTAACAGCATCCCTGGAGTGGCTGGCACATGCAAGGAGACCTTCAACCTCTACTACGTTGAGTCAGATTCCGATCTGGGCCGCAGTATCCGTGAGAACAAGCATACAAAAATTGACACCATTGCTGCTGACGAGAGCTTCACCCAGGGGGACTTGGGCGAGCGCAAAATGAAGCTGAACACAGAGCTGAGGGAGATTGGGCATTTGAGCAAGAGAGGCTTCCACCTGGGCTTCCAGGATGTGGGTGCTTGCGTGGCTCTGGTTTCCGTGCGGGTTTATTACAAAAAGTGCCTCTCCACGGTGCAGAACTTGGCGGTGTTTCCAGACACTGTGGCAGAAGCAGCATTTGCAACCCTGGTGGAAGTTAAGGGCACCTGCGTCAATCATGCTGAAGTAGACCTGGATAGTCCTCCCAGGATGCACTGCAGTGCGGAGGGGGCGTGGCTAGTCCCCATTGGGAAATGTACATGTAGTGCTGGCTTTGAAGAGAAGGATGATGGGTGTGAAGGTAAAAATGGCCATTCATGCTCTATTTCTATCTCAGGCCCCAATCAGTCCGTCACATTATTATACTGCGTCCAGCACCCTGGTATCAGAGCACAGTGTAAACACACGGAATTGCATTTTGTCACTCTTGTGTTTGTGGTGTTTTTAGTTCATTATGATTTGCTAATCCAATAACCAGAGTTTTATTTGGGGACCAGGGAATAAGGTATATTGTTTTTTGTGGTGGTGGTGGTTGTACTGTGCCGACTGATTCAGCAGCATCTAAGAATAGCTTCAGGTATTTTCCATAACTTTGTACGTGCCATAAAATGACTCTAGAACATTAATGTCCCCATTGTCGTGCTTTGCACTCAATTTAATAATTCAGTGACTTTACAGCTTGCAAGGTTACATTTAATGACAGCTGTAAAAATAGATATAACCCCTACTTAACTAGTGTCACTTTAATGATGCTGAAATTCACTTCAGTTTCTCTCTTTTAAAATGATGGTAAGAGAAAAACTCAGCATTACCAAGGGGCTGAGTGAGCCAGGGGGCTGGTGCTGTCCTTGGAATCAGTGTTTGGAAATGCTTTTGGAATGGAAGAGGATTATTTTTTTAATGTCTTTTTCTTAGTTCTTGGTCAGTACTTAATCTCAGCTCAGCATTGTAGCAAATGCTTCTGTAAATCAAGTTAAAAATGTCAAAGTAACTAAGATGCATCTCTTCAAACAATTTCAAGTGGTGCTTTGAGTGGTGTTATCTGTGCAAATACTAGGAAGTTCTTGTGTACCCTTTTGTCACACGTCTAGTCGAGTGTCCCCTCTTGGGCACTGTCCAGATTGCTGTGAGGGGAACCAATTGCCGGATCCCGAGTGCTTGAGGCCTAACAAGTTCCTGTACTGCCCTTAGTCTGGAGTCCCAGCATGCAGATCCTCTGTCTAGCAACCCCTCTTGTGAGCTGAGGCCTCCATGCCCAACGGTCCAGCCCCTGTGGTCAGTGCTGACTCCTCCTCCCACCGTACTCCCCCAAAGCTTAAACACACCCTGTTCCAGAACTCCATCTGTGTGAGCATGCTGGTCCCACAGGTTAACGTTTCAAGGGCCTGAGATAGGTGTAACACAATGCATTTACAGCCTTTGCACAGGAATCTAATATGATTGCTCTTACTTAATCATACAAGAAATACACAGTTCTAGACAAAAATAATAAACTTTTCATGCATTTGCCTTGGTTTCCTCCCTACTCCAGAGCATTCTTTGGGCTGGGGTCAGTCTTCCCTGCGGGCCTCCAGGGTCCTTCTGCGGCTGGTTTGTCTTCCTAATCATGGCACCTCTCTCTCTTTCTGTCCAGGTCAGCTTGCTTTGACTTTGGTTGGTCCCACAGCTAAACTATGGATGGAACAAGCAAGCCATATGAGCAAAGTCTGAAGGAACTGGTTATATTTAGTTTGGAAAAGACGAGATTGAGGGGGAACATGATAGCGGTCTTCAGCTACTTGAAAGGCTGCCATAAAAAAGATGGAGAAAAGTTGTTCTCTTGCCACACAGCAGATTTAGATGAAATCTCAGGAAAAACTTCCTAACTGTAAGACCAGGAGGATAGTGGAACAGACGCCTCGGGAGGTGGTGGAAGCTCCTTCACTGGAGGCTTTCAAAAGGAGGCTGGCTAGCATCTGTCTTGGATGGATTAGACACAAGTAGTCCTGTATCATGGCAGGGGGTTAGTTAGATGACCCTTGTGGTCCCTTCAAACCCTGTGATTCTGTTACTCTAAAACTGAGGTTATCTTGGTGACTGTCAGGGTAACTTTATTTTTAAGATTGCAGTGGCTCTGTAGCTATTGCGAAAATGCAGATTGGGTGAAACCCCAGCTACACTCTACTTCTGGAAGGCCATGCAAGGCTGCAGAAATCTCACACAGTGAAGAGGCGAGAGGAGACAGGACGTAAATATGTCCTAAAGTGCTAACATTTCTCTGGTAGAAATGCACCCATGTATTAGAAGAGTGAGCTCTGCCTAAGGATAACGGTTCAGTTGTCAAATGAATACTTGGTGCCATGCAAACCTTAAATTCCCTTTACAGGATGCAGTGTGTCGGCCATCTCACTCTGCTCCCTCCTCCTCCGGAAGGTGGGAAAGCCTTTAATGGTGCTCTTGGTAGTAGTGATTCACTTAATGCCCTCTTTAAGAAGACCATAATAAAACTATTGAATTGAAATCTTGGTATTGTTCATTGCTTCAGTGCTTGTGTGGCAGCTTGCCATGCTCTTCCCATCTGTTTGGAGTGGGGAATTTACATAGCGAGTCCCAGAGGGCTCTTGCTAATGTTTCAGGTTTCTCCGTGTTGAGTTTAAATAATTCATATTCTCTTAGGAAAAATATTTGAAGTAATTTAATGGACATAATTAAGGTTTTTTTTTCCCATTCACAGAAAGCAGGTCATTAGTCACTCTCTGTGGAGCTGCGTCTGATGTCTGGTCAAATATCAAAATAATTTTGAAAAGTGGAGATTTCTTTAAGCCTTGCATTAGCATAGTGCTAAGTGAATAACGTTACAGATTTATGATGAAAGCATCCAAGGCAGCAGGAATTCTTCGACAAGGACAAAAAAATTAGCTTCACTTGAAGGCAAACAACAATGGCTTTTTGTGGATGTTAAAATCGACTGGCTGTGCAGCAAATCTGTCTCCAGTGCTTTGCTCCCAAGATCTGTTCTGAGAAGGGCCCTACTCCAGGTTAAAGTTTTCCAGGACCTCCTTCCCAGTGAAACTGTGACTCTGATCACTGACACCGGTGCGTTTGCCTACCAGTGAGGGAGAGAATCCAGTGGAGGGAGCAGCAATCCCAGCCCATGTGATTGCGGGCCAGCTCAAGCCGGCATGCCCCTGGGGAGCAGCAGCTCTGACTTGGGATAGTGGGAGCGGCAGCAGAAATCCTTTCCCAGGGTATCATTTTGGTTGCAAGGCACCATGCTGATATGTGAGCTGGGGGGTAAAGGCCAGGGTCTAGGGGAGAGTGTGTGCAGCGCTGTCTCTCACACACTGAGCTGGCCTGCCAGAGCGTTTGCCATGGTCTTTTCTCTCCCCCAAGGAGAGGGCCTCATCAACCCTGCTGGGCTATTCTGCTCCTCTGTCTGTTGAACACCCCCTCCCTTTCCCTCTGGGGCCATGTCTGAAACATGGGGCTTGACTGTTTTGCAATGAATTGCCCTGAGGCTCCATTTGCCTGTGAGTGTCACTGCCTGATTTGGTGCTGTGGCTGTGAGCAGGGCCCTTAATCTTAATGGGTTTCTCTGGTTCACTCTTTGTTGGCATCCAGAAGTACCTGTTCTTTTGTTCAAGGACAGTTCCCCGTTAAACTGGGATTAGCCCGAGGCAGACCATTTGTCTGGTGTAATGGGGGCCTGCCAGTTAGGAGGCCCTGCTCTTTGCCAGGCCTTTCCTCATGTTATGCTTCAGAGCTCCCTGGCCTCTGTCTGTTTATCCTTCGAGACCTTCTTTGACACCCTTCTGGCTGCATCTCATGTTTTGAGATTTGCTGGGAAGAGGTAACATGTACGGGACCACCAGTCACCTGGCATCACGTCTGCAATGAGCTCCCTAGGGCTGGTAACTCTCTGAACGCGGCGGGGCGGTGCCAAGCATGAGAGGGAGAACTGCCCCCACAGTAAGATCCTGCAGGATCATGCAGACTGCCCAGCTGAAATTGTGACCTGCCTGGGGGCTCTGCAGTAAGAGGATGCCATGCCACATGAGCACGTCAGGCAGGAGGCCATAAATGTGCCTGAAACATGGCTGCTGAGGGCACAGTTCTGTGTGCTTGCTTGGCGCCAGGCAGTGGGTTATAGAGGTGGCAGTGAGCTGGATCAGAGCTGGTGCTGCCCCATGAAGAGGTCAGCAGGAGTCAGGCAACTCTTTGTGGCCTCCCAGCTGCTCTTCCCATGAGGGCTGCCGGTCACTATGAACAGAGTTGTACGGTGATAAAAAGCCATGGCGTGCCAGACCAAATCCAGCCCTGCTCTGAGCAATGGCAGCCCAGCTGACCTGGCATTGCACCTACTAATGCAAGCTTGGATCTGGCCCCAGTCTTTTAAAACATGTGGAAACAAGAGAGCCTGCAGCAGGGCTGTGGCTCGGACAGAGCAATGAAATTATTGGAGCACCTCTGCCGGAGTTAACCTCTTCTCAGTATTCAGCCTTAAAGGGGAGTGCTGAGCAAAGCAGTGTCTGTCTGTCAGGACCTGATCCCCCTCCTCGGCCTCTGCTCCTCTCCCCCCTACATAAGCCAGGACCTAATGTTTTTTCTTTTACTCCCTCTTCCAAATGTTTCCTGCCTGCCCTGGTTCTGACGCTGTCATTAACGGAGAGTGCGCCTGCCCTGCGCCTTGTAGGAAGAGTGAAGAATTAGGCATTCATTGCAATGAGGAAATGATAAAGTAACTAAAGCTAGATGCATCTGAAAGTGTGTGATGCCCTTTGCAGATGAAAAAGCCAGGGCTGAATCTTTCTCCCTTACCAGTGGCACTGGCCCTGCTCTTGACTGGCCTTTAAAAATGAGCCCTTGAAGACAAGACACAAGCTGGCTCCTGAGCTAACTCCAGACCCGGGTAGCTGCCAAGCCAGGAGCCTTTCCCAATAAATCGATTTTTCATTTTCAAAATCTGCCCCATTCTCCAGCTCACAGTAAAAGTGAAGAACGGATTCTATTGTTTTAGATTTGTAATGTGCTGGGTGCACAGAGCTCACGGACAGACGTGTTTGATTAACTCTAACTCCAAATAGGAAGAAAAAATAAATTAAATGGTGGCAGGGAATAAGAACCACGCGAATAGCCCCCCCCTTCTCAGTGGGGAAGAAACGGATTTCTGTGTCTTCTTGAATTTGCAAGGCTGGGTTATAATTGCATTATAACGCTCTAGTATTCTAGTGATTAAAGTACTGAGGTTATTGTAGTGGTAAGGGAACATTCATGGTTTAGCACAGTAATCAGAGATTTTTTAAAAAGGACTAATAGGATTTA